AATTTTTTTAAATTTTACCATATTAATATATGCAATACCTATGCCCGAGCAAGAATCCTCTATCCTCAAATATTTTTGTCATTTATCCCAAATCGCTCAGAACCATTACATTATATGAGAATCTCAAGATTTGAAAATATCAAGTGATTCAATAATTGTGAGATATTTGGAAATTGAAGATCTTTGGGCACTTATATCCCGTACCCGTAACCGCAACCGTAACCGTAACCATCAGCGTACCGTGCTTCGTGGGATGGAGGTAAACTTGAGTTTCCGTTATAAGCTATAAACTTTAAAACTGTTATCAATGTTACCGTTGCATACACGGCTAACCAAATGCGACTCCTGACCTCCATTTTCAGACCTTCAAACCCCAAAACCCTAGTCTCTCTCCTCCCACACCCCTTGCAACTTCCACACCTTCTCTCTCTCCCTCTTGCAAACCTACCTACACCCTTTTCATTTCTTTCTACCGAAGCCATCACTTCAGGCCTCTTCGCTGACCCCTTTGTCTCCAGCAAACTCCTCCACTTCTCTCTCTCTCTCTCTCTCTCTCTTCCCCCCACCATTTCCTCTCTTTCTCATCCTCCACTTTCTTCCACATCCAAAACCCAGATCTCTTTTCTTGGAATTTCATGTTCCAGCCTATTCTCGGAGTTGGTCTCCCCAACAATCGGTCAATATTTACAATCTTATGAGGTGTAATAGCGTTTTCCCTGATAAGCATACATCCCCTTTTGTCCTCAAGGCTTGTGGTAGACTTGGGTTGATTGAAAAGGCCTTGAAATTCATTGTTTGAGTGAGAAGCTCGGGCTTGAATTCGATGTTTTTGTGCAAAATGAGCTGATATCGATGTATTTTCAGTGTGGTTTTGTTGAATTTGGGCGGAGGGTGTTTGATAAGGTTCCGGGTTTGGTTCGGGATGTGTGACTTGGAATAGTGTGATTTCTGGGTGTGTACATAGTGATTGCTATGCCAATGCATTGAAGGTGTTTGTGGAATTGTTGGGTGATGGTAATGTGAGGCCAAATCAGGTTACTATGGTGAGTGCTTTGGTCGATATGTACTCTTAAGTCTGGAGATATTGAAAAATCTCTTGAAATTTTTCATGGACTAGCCAAGAAAGATGTCTTTTCATGGACCACGATGATATCAGGGCTTGCCATGAATAGGCAGTCTGAGAAGGCATTGCAATTCTCTTCTCTGATGGAATTGTAAAGTGATGTCAAGCCAAATGAGGTCACAGTTCTTGGGGTCTTGTCTGCTTGTAGTCACAGTGGATTCGTGGATAAAGGGTTTTACTATTTCGAAGCAATGATTAGATGCTATGGTCTCACCCCTCGGCTTGAACACTGTGGGTGCATGGTTGATCTTCTTGGTCGGGCAAACCTTTTGGTTGAGGCAGTGAAGTTTATGAAGTCATTTCCCATTCCATCTGGTGTGGTTATGTGGGGATCCCTACTTTTTGCATGTAGGAGTCATGGGAATGTAGAACTGGCCGAGTTTGCAGTGAACAAAATTGAAGAATTAGAACCTAGAAAGTGCGGGGCACGTGTTCTTTTGTCTAATGTTTATGCTTCTGCCTCTAGGTGGAGTGATGTGAAAGTGGGTAAAGGAAAAACATGTTCGTTCATGGAACCCAAAAGCAACCCGGATGCTCTTTAGTTGAAGTAAATGGTCTTGTTTACGAATTCTTTGTTTCAGATAGCTCACATCCTCAAATTCATGACATATCTGGGACAACTTTTGGAATTAATAAAATTCTGCAATCTGATAGTTTTGACTCAAATATCTTAGATCGTCAAGAACAATGGGATGGAGTGCAACTAATTTGGATTGTGATGATCTTTCTAATTTCCTTGCCATATGATGCTCATGCCGAGCTGCCCGTGATTTTATGCCATAGAATTTATTTACTCTGATCACATCATTGTTTGAAGATGAGGCTTATGATTAAATGAACATTGAAAGACCGGTTTCCTGAGAAAGTTTGTACTGCAAAATTTGCATGAGTAGATGGTGTGAGATGTGGATTTCATCAATAATGCATGGGTACATTTTTCAGTTCAGTAACATAGGAATTGGATTGGGAATAGAATAAATTTAGGGCATGAGCATTCTTACAAGCCCAGTAAAAGAAGACATGAAAAAATTGTACTCTCTGGGGTTCAAAAGGCAGTTGGAGCATGTGATGTTGAAGGCAAATTTGGTATCTTTTGGCAACAGTTAAATACGCCACTTTCTTCTTTTTTTTCTATAGTAATTTTTTTTTTACTCTTTAGGTCCATCTAGAAGAATCTAAAGACTAAAATTTTTCTAATAAAATCCAAGAAAAGTTCACTAAAAACAGAAAAAATAAAGTCAATTTTTTTTAAACTCTTTTTTTTGTCTTTAGTGGATTATTTTTTACCTACGTTTTAGGTCTGTCTAATCTATTAGAAGCTGCAAGTGGAGTGTTTTTTAAGACATTAAAATATGTCAACAAAAAAAAAAAAAACTACTTGTCAAACCAAACTTGAGTCATGGTAGCTTAAATCCTTGTTTCTTGGTTTTGCATACCAATATATAACTCATTTCTGTTTTCTGACAGTTGGTTTTCATCAAGCATGTATTTAAGATGGAGTGGTCCAAGTTGGCATTGTGCAAAATATTGTTCCAGTTGGATGATCAAAATGCAAAGAAGCCAGTCATGTCATTACCGCCCAAAAAAGAAAAATAATTTCGAGAAATGGAGACAATGAGTCCCCATCAAAGCAAAAATGTACCATATGTCAATGCAGAGTAACCCATCCTTGACTGGCTGTAGTTCTTGATGTTGAGCAGTGACTCGGGGTTTGAGAGGGACTAAAATGGCTTGTGGCCACTCTTGAGCAAACAGGTCTTGGCATTGTTGGAGTGACAGGAAGGACAAGTTGTGACAATGGTGCCTCTATAGACAGCTTCTGAAATTGGCATATTTGACAAGGTTTTATGACAATACAATTGCCTCGATTTCACAATTTTTGTAACTCCTCTCTTCTTAGCACTGGCACCGAAAGTGTTTTGAAATTGAAATCTTTACTAAGATAAACAGAGCTTGAAGAAAATTATAAAGTCCAAAATTTAAGGTTATCTTTTAGCAGAATTGTTAAGTTGCCTTTTTTTTTTTTTTTAATAAGAAAGCTTGGGAAAAGGAAAAAGGGGGTTTTTTTTTTTTTAAGATCCCTAATATTATAATTTTACGAGATAAAGGATATCCTAAACTTTAATACTACCTCAGGTCCCTCAAAAAACATGCGTCTCTTCCCTCCAAAATTATTGGACCAAAATATTCTTGCATTTTACATTTAAACGTCTTTCACTTCTTGAAAATTTTCAAAACGTAAAAATTCAATAACTTTTTATTTAAATGTCCATTTTCAACAAAAATTATATTTTTGGAATGCCCTCGTCAAGATCTATCAAATAAGATCAATGATGAATATGAAATTCAGAATAAAAAATATTTACAAAATTTCATTGAGTTAGAAATCAACATTAAAGTAAATTTCTCTAAGTACATTTACGAAGAAATTTCAGTGAAAATCAAATGTGTTAGAGAAAATCAATATGCAAGTGTAGACATAAATTTTGAGACGTGAAGTGTTTTAACGCATTTCAAAATTTATGTTACAAATGTCCAATATTTACTTTTTTGGAGTAACAGTGTTGATTATTTGAATAGCAGGTTCCTATTTCTGATCTGCCTTTCAAATCGTTAATTACACATTTTATTTAAATGAAACCTCCGATTAATGAATAACAAAAAAAATGAACAGAAGATAAATTAAGGAAAAGAGATATTTTATTGAAATTGTAGGCATTTAAAAACCCTTAGATACACAATACAATAGTTGGGTTTGGATTCTTTTACCTAAAGCTTGCCATCGTATCAGATACTTGCTGTAGACACCTCATTTTTTATCGAACCTCCGATTAATGAATAACAAAAAAATGAACAGAAGATAAATTAAGGAAAAGAGATATTTTATTGAAATTGTAGGCATTTAAAAACCCCTAGATACACAATACAATAGTTGGGTTTGGATTCTTTTACCTAAAGCTTGCCATCGTATTAGATACTTGCAATGTAGTGTAAGCTTTCAATTTTTTCTTTCTTCTATCGACTTCTTTAGCGCGCTCTCTCTCTCTCTCTCTCTCTCTCTCTCTCTCTCTCTCTCTCTCTCTCTCTCTCTGATTTTCTGACTTATGATTTTTTTCCTTCCCTTTTTAACTGATGATCCCTCGTATTTATAGAGGGTCATCTAGGTGATAAAAGGGCCTCATCGTCAATTTAATTTTCAATTTTCAAATTGAATGAAAACGCCATTTGAATTTTAAATGATAGCGCCATCTGAATTTGGGCTTAATCATATCTGATTAGCCGTATTGATTCTTTGGACTTCATTCTGTGTGGTGTCCTTACGGTAGGCTCTACAGATATCATCTTTTATAGGCTCCACGTGTCACTTGAGTATCTTGAAAAACGTCGCTATGATACGACGTTGTTTTATTTATTCACTTCAACGGATCAATCAATTTAGGAAGTGATTACCTACAACATTCCTATCATAGGTTCTATATGTGTCATTTAACTAATTGACTTTATTTGAAATTTAAACATAAATTTGGTTGAAATTTAAACATAAATTTTTATGTACCAACAAATGTCCCCTCGTGACTTGCACAAGTGAATTTCCTTAACTGTGCGAATCACGACAATTTGACACTTTTATCTAGATCCTCTTTAGATCTTGGATGGCATTATTCCTTGGCCTTAGTCCCTTTTGGCCACTTTTCAAGCTTTGTATTTTTTTTTATTTTTTTAATGGGTTGATTGCTCCTTATAATCGATGGGCCATTTATTTTTGTTGCATGGGCCCCTTTTTATGGACGTCGGCCTCTTTTTTTTTTTGCATGGACCATTTATTTTTCTTTTTTTTTTTTGCATGGGCCCTTTTCATGGACTTCGGCCTATGGGTTCTTTATAGTCCATAGGCCTTTCTTTTTCTTTCTTTTTTTAAGTGATAGGTCATAGGTAAGATTCAAAATTTAATTGGGCATTTCCTTTTGTGGGCCTCTTTCTTCGTTCTATGCGGGGCTCTTTACCAACTTACCGCCACTTTTTTTTTTTTTTTTTTCAGGCCATCATAGATATTGATGGGTAAGGTCCAAGATTTAATTGGGCCTTTTCTTTTGTGGGCCTCTTCTTTTGTAGGCCTCTTCCTTCATTCTATGTGAGGTTTTTACAAACTTGCCACCACTACTTTTTTTCTTTTTTTTTTTTTGGCAGGATTTTTTTTTTTTTAAGGATCAAATTTTTTATTTTTTATTAGGAGTTTGCCTAAATGAAATAGGATAGATTGGCATTGTTAGGATTTCTAATCCTATACGAACTCTTACTTCTTTGGAGTATTTCAAATCCTACATAAACTTTTGTTTCTTTGAAGTATTTTAGTAGACCACTGCCTCTTTTCTTAAGTAAGACGTTTTGCTTTATATAACACCTATTCGAGCATGCAACCCTTTTTTTTTTTCCCCTGCAACCCTTTTTTTCCACCTACAGATTTTTTAGTGCATATTAGGTCTTAGCACCTTTCCCGCAAAATTTGTTGTTCGAGGACACAAAAGATTCCCTTCTACTCCCTTCATACTTCCAGCAGAAATTGTTTTTCTTATACTTTCAAGAAGACATAAGGTCATATCAGGTATGCTTTCCTCCTTCTTCATCTTTTTTATTTTTTATTTTTTTTTCCTAACAACAGCAGCCCTTTTTTTTTTTTTTTTTTTTTTGCTGCTGCTGCTCCTTTTTTCTTTTTAATCATAGAACCAAAATTATTATTATTTTTTTTTGCTAGACCATAAAAGACCCTTCTTAAAATCAAGACTTGACTTCTTTTATGTATAATGCAACCACTTTTTTGAGTCTGTCTGTCACAGTAAAGACCTATTTGTTACCTTATTTATTTATTTATTTTTGAAGTCATGCAAGCATTTTGTTGCTAGATGATGAGTTTAAATAAGCCAAGTAATGTCCTAGGCTATACAAATAAAGAAACCTGCTACTTATGAAGTCTTAGCCCCTATTTCAGAGGCTAAAACTCTTTCTTTTCCTTATTTTTTATTTTTATTTTTTTTATTTTTTTTTCAGAGTAGTCCATTTTTCTTTTGAATCAGAAAAGAAGCAGCCTTCTTACATCAGGTATACACCATGCCCTGCATTTATATTTGTCTTATTGTCCTTTACCAACACAGCAAAGAGCACTCTTTCTAATAAAGGCCATATAGGACAACCTTTTTTTTTTAAATAGAAAATTAGTATTGCTACTTGCCCTGTTATTGGCTTTTGTGTTTTCCAAATGACTTCTACGACAACCTCATATAGATATGCAGCAGAAAATCTTTTTTTTCTTTTTTTTTTCAACAGCATGTGTACAACATCAAACTACTGCTCCTTTTTTTTTAACATCCATACCAGGTTCATGGATATCATGTTCATAAAATTCTGCATGCAGTAGCATCCCTTCTATGTATATAATTGGCCCAACAAAATAAGACTTTTTTTTTAACCAAACAGTACTTTTTTTTAGCATGAACTCCTTTTTTCTCTGCATAAACCACCCTGTAGCTCGACTTTTCGTGCCCTTTTTCGGAAAACGAATAAGCCCTTCAGTATCGGACTCCCGCGGGTCTGAATCCGATCTCACAAGTGCAATGTGAAATAGATAAACACAAAAGAGTCCAAATCCAACATATCTTTTGGAAAATCGATTTTGAATCAAATTACCAAAAATGGACTGCTTTTCCAGATACAGCGTCGCCAGCTAAATATTTTTGGAAAATTTAGGAAACCCATGACTCGTGCCAAAGGCCACGTGTCCATCATCACCAAGATTGTCTCGGCTCGGGAACTTGGGTACGAGAGGGGAAGGTCATGAATTGAGCACCTCTACTCGCCCGATCAAAGATCAGCCGCTACTAATCATGATGTGATTCTTATCTGCATTATATGCTCTTGTTCCGGTTATTAGGCTAACATTACTATGTGATGCGCACACACACAAGTATAGACTAACTTGCAAAAAATAGAATATTTGGTTTCATGTTTGTTTCAAAAAGCGTTTGTAAATGTGCCACTTGAAAAAGTGGGCTTAAATGTACATGAATCAAACCATCCCAATTCAAGCAATTA